GAATTATTTTCTTCTACTCATGAAGCGCCTCTCTGGTCTGCAGGGTGGGTGCTTGTGCCAGAATAAGTCAGTGCCCCTCTGAGCTCTGCATGAATAGAAAAGAAGAGGTCTCCACTTTGGTCATTTGGACGAGGGTGTGCCACGACTAACACGGGGCCTGGAAGCACTCTCATCAGGATCAACCCAGTTGTGCACTTGGTTTTATTTTATTGGACTGCGACTCCTGCCTGATGGTGTTCAGCACTGTGCAGGCTACGCTGCTGCCCCTGCTTCCCCAGGCCAGGGGAGGGCTTGACCCCCTTCTGCCGCTGCCGGGTCAGAGGGGCGAGGTGTGCTCCCCTTGGTTTCTTCTTTCAAGTCCATTTGTCAATGGCAGTGTGTGGCTGATTTGTATTTTAAAATACTACTCCCCTGCTGCTGTGGCTTGGAATAATTGTGTGCTGTGGCTGACCCTGGTGGCCATTTCTTAAGGGAGCAAGCATTTGGTTTTTTTTTGTAAATTTTTTTTTGCCGTCACCTGTGTTGTTCCTTCTTCCTGCCCTTTCCCTCTCAGTTTCCCTTCTGTCCCTAATTAAATAGGCTTGGTTTGGAAATGAATGCAACCCATGAAATCCCTGTGGAATATGTGTTCCCTTTTTCCTCCCTCTGATAAAACACAGACTGTGGGCACTGTTCATGTTTGAAAGCTGAGCACGTGTAAGAGCATGAAGAGTTAGGGCTGTGCTATCACTTTTTGGTAGGGCTGTGCTTTTTCTCACACTGAAGGAGTTACAGCAGCTGCCTCTCACTCCCTCTGGAGGATTATCCATGTGCCTACACTTATTTGTGGCACCTACCTGTACCAGTCCTGAGCACAGGACTGGTAGGCTCACAGGCTGCTCCTGCTCCCTCTTCTTTGAAGCAACACATTTCTTTAGGCAGCAAAGAGTTGTTCCTTCCCCTCTCTGTTTCCAGCTGGAGGAAACTGTTCATCCTTGCAGTCAGCACCCGGTGCAAGTAGGACTGGTATCAAGAAGACATCAGGGAACTGAATTTATCTGTCCCTTCCTTGTGAGGGGCAGCCTGTGCTGCAGCTGATGGGGCGCTTGGCCTCAGTGCAGGAGAAGCTGGCATTAACTCGCAGCTTTGACGGACAAAGAAAGGCTTGGGGTGCTGGATTGAAATAAAGTGCACGGTACATGCAAGACCTTATGTTCTTCCATAGTGTGGGCCTGTTTGAAGCAACCACTGGTGAAATGGGAGGGCTATGGGAAGCAGTGTTTCTCCTCACTCTGGCAGGCGAGGTGCTGGCCTTCACATAAGCAGTTTCCCCTCATTAAAAAAGGCTGCCCTAAGGCAAAGAGCAAAATGTATTTTCTCCAAGTTTCAGTGAGTGAAGCTGGAGCTTCTCTGTGTTGAAATTAGTAAAAATCAGCTGAAGCTTCCTGCACCTACAGGAAGGAGCTTTAAACACTGCAGGCCCAGCCCTGCCTCCTTCACCCCATCCCATCCTGTTCCTGCAGCTCTGTTGCAAGTACACGTCTAAGTTTTGCCATGAGCTTGAGAGCAAAACAGAGACAAAAAAGCCCTGTATTTTCTGTAAGTCTTAAACTAAGTGTGGCTCTACTTGATGCTTCCTGGCCTCTTACTGCTCTAGCAACCATAGCAGAACAAATGTGAGAGGTTGATGCCTAAGTTTATTTCAAAAGCAAATGGTATTTAGAAATGGGATTTCCCAGGTATTCAGGGTGAAGATCAGATGTCTATAGGGAAAAGGGGTGCGTGAAGATAGAAGTGGCAGTCTCTGCAGAAGACAGATTCACTTCTAGGTAGGACATGGACTCAGAAGACTTAAAATTGGCTTATGCCTCAAGATTAGGGGAGAAAAAGGATGGGCATTGCTAACTCTGGTTTCCATTAGAGTTGCTCCCAGAGGCCAACTGTTTCACAGCAGTGCCCTGGAGGAACGTGGGGTTGTTCCAGAGCTGCTTCAGCCCATCTGATGCAACCACTTCACCCCAAAAGCACTGCTCTTGTCAGAAGTGTTTCCAATTTGAATTTCATTAGTCCAGCAAGACAGCAGTGGTGCAGAGCTCTCTGTGGAGCAGTTCTGGGTGCATCTGTGAGCAGTGAAATCCCACAGCAGTAGTAACAGGATTGGGGTCCTTGCAGGCAAAGGTGAGACATTTTGTTTAATGGAAAGTAAAACTATCTGGGCTGGGAGAGGTGGATTAAACCCCACCAGGTGGAAGTTCAGGTGTGCTGCCTTCATGTCCTGTGCCCCATGTTGAGCAAAGGCTGTCTGCCTTGGGGGGAGGCTGGGGAAAGGGCAGATGTGACACTCGGTCCCTGGTACCACATCTGGACCTCCCCCCTGGGACACTGGCAGGGAGTGGTTGGCCAGGCTGGGGTGGGGGGTCCCAGCCAGGGGAGATGGTGGGGACATGGGCAGTGGGGAGCTGGGTGGGCTGGACACTGGCCAGGCACTCCCCATGGCAACTCCTGCCAGCCTCGGGCAGGTTCATCCCTCCAGACCTCCCTCCCCAGCGGTCCTCCTTGCGCAGCAGAGTGGAGGTGAGCTTGAGAGCTGGTGCCCCCGAGCTGCTCAGAGTGTAAGTGCAGTTGGGCGGGCACAAGGGAGCACTACACACCCCTGGGATCCTGTGAGGATGGAGGGGATGGCCGGAACAAAGTGGTGGTCAGGGAGGCTTTGGCCACTGGGCAGTGGGCAGGCTCACAGACTCTGGCCAATGTGTCCATCACTCACAGGAGGCACTGGCATGGGACATACTGGCTCTGGCAGCTGAGGCTGCTGAACAGGGGAAAGGCAGGAGGGAGACATCAGTATCAAACCTTTCAGGTTTTGTCAGGCTACAGAGCTGCTCATGTTCCATGGGACAGCGAAAACAAAGGCCTCCATGAACTTGTGCAAGCAAATCATGTTTTGCACAGGTACTGTTGCCCTGGGCCTCTTCAAAACAAGCAGAGAAGCAAAAATCAGGAGAACTCAGAGCTGTAAATGTGGCATGGCCCTGCAACTCAGTTTGCCAGCTGCCTCCTTCCTTTTTTGCTCAGGCTTACCACCGTCATTGCAAATTTTGGCTGGGTGTCACCTTTCTGCCCTGCACCTCCATCCCTCCTGTGACTTACACAAGCAGGAAAGAAAAGACAAAGCCTGGGAACAGTGAGTGCAAATCCCACAGCGGCTCTGGCCATGCTGGTGCTCCTCAGCACCGGTGCTCCTGGCCCCCTGCGAGGTGAGGGGCAGGCAATGTCTGGGTCACTGCCCTCTCTCCAGGGGTGCTCTACCCTTCCTTCTCCCCTCCTCCTCCTTCTTCTCCTCCTCCTACTCCGCATTTCTGGCTCTGTCCGGCGAGCGCTGCTGGGAAAGCAACACAACGGGGCCCATTCAGTGCTTGCTTCTGCAAGGAGAGCAAACACCAGCACAGGAGCTCGGCAGCAGCTGGAACAGAGAGGGGCCGCTTTCCCCAATTTCTTTGCAGCTTCTTAAGGTCCAGGGATCCCTCCAGGTGAGTGGGAGGAGGTGGTGGGACAATGCCCGTCCTGTGGTGGTGCACATGGGCTGAGCTGGGGATACCGTGTTGGTGACACTCACCAGTGGCCGTGCAGGAGCAGGGGTGACCCCATTGTGTGTGTGTGTGTGTGTGCGTGCGTGGGGTACAGGGGTAGGCCAAGGCAAGACTGGTTGTGGTGGGGGCAGGAGGGCAGAGTGGGGCATGGGACCATGGGGGACAAACAGCTATACTGGTCAAAGGGATGGGCACCACAAGTTTGAACCTTGCAGACCCCCACGGCTCCTGCTCCCCAGACTTTTCTGGGGTTTAGGGTGTCTGTCTGCGATATCTGCAGCCCTGCTCTCCCCTCTGTGCTTGTTCAGCCTTGGCCTCTCTCTGTGGCACTTCCTGCTCTGCCAAAACCAACCTGTCCTTCCTGTGTCTGAACAGTGGAGATCTATTCCCAAACCTGCTGTGAAGAGCTGGAGGCAGGGAGCGTGCAGGGTGGGAGGAGCAGAGCTGGGAGGCGGGAGGTGGCCGGCTGGGGGGGGACACGCAAAGATGGGACAGCTCCAAAAGCTGGTGTGATCACACTCCCTGGGTGGTTACATCTGTGTGGCTTACCAAAAAAAAACAACAACCCCCAAATCCTTGACTGTAGGAAGAATATTGATACAGATCAAGACAAGTTTATATTGTATAAGAAGAAAAAGAGGATGATGTCTGCTCCAAGCCAGAATTACCTCATGCTTCTGCTGAGCCCCTCACAGGTGTTCCCAAAACTCCCTCAGTGGGTTTAGATAACGGGGGTAAAAGCACTTTCCAAGTGGAGACCTGCTACCTGTGACCTTCACTTTTCACTCTAAATACTTATTTTCTCCTTCTTTATGCTCTCTTCCTCATTTATAACCTGTAAAATCATGGCGTGACAGCCAGGGACCGTGAGACTTGCCCCACTAGGTCACAGCAACAGCCTCCAGTGGCCTGCCATGGTAGGTGATGCCTTTTGGGGAGGGACGGGAGCCTGACCCCTCTCTGCTATCCCTCTGCAGGCCTCACTGCCCCCTCTGCCTGCCCACAGGTGCTCTCTGCCATGAGGCTGTCCTGGGGGCTCCTCCTGCTTGCAGCGGCCATGGTGCTGGAAGAGATGGCCGCCGCCCGCTGCCCCGCGCCCTGCGTCTGCGACAACCTCCGCACCCACGTCTTCTGCCTCAACGGGAGCCTGACAGCCATCCCCAGCACCATCCCACAGCTCACCAAAAAACTGGACCTTCGGGGCAACAGCTTCACAGTCATCCCGGTGGGAGCCTTCCTCACCACCCCGTACCTCACACACCTGGACCTGCAGCGCTGCAAGGTGGAGAGACTGGAGGAAGGGGCCTTCCGGGGCCTGGGGAGGCTGCTCTACCTCAACCTGGCCTTCAACGGCATAGCCCTCCTCTACCAGGAGTCCCTGGACGGGCTCTCCTCCCTCCAGCAGCTCATCCTGGAGGGAAACCGCATCGAGGAGATCCAGCCGGGTGCTTTTGGCCGTCTGGGATCCCTGACTGTCCTTGACCTGAGGGCGAACGCCTTGGTCTACCTCCCGGACATGGTCTTCCAGGGTCTGCAAGCCCTCAGGTGGCTCCGTCTGTCCCACAACGCCCTCCATGTGCTGGGCAGCGAGGCCTTCACTGCCCTGCCTGCCCTGCGCAGGCTGAGCCTGGACCACAACGAGCTGCAGGCGCTGCCCGGCGAGGCCCTGGCCAGGCTGGACGGGGCCACCCGGCTGGACTTGGGCCACAACCCCATCACCTATGTGGCTGAGGAGGCCCTGGCCATGGCCTCCCTGAAGCACCTTTTCCTGGACCACGCCGCCCTCCAGGACGTGGCACCCGACGCCTTCGTCCACAGCCCCCAGCTGCGCACACTGGACCTCCGCAAAAACCAGCTGGAAGGGCTGCCACCCCTGGCTGGGACTGGGGGGCTGGTGAGGGTCAGCCTGGCTGGGAACCCCCTGCTCTGCTCCTGCCTCCTGCGCCCCTTCCACGAGTGGCTGGCGAGGGGACGGGTACAGGTGGAAGGGGC